ACCCCGTGGGCGGAAAGCAACCTTCTCTCGTCGGCTATGTAGAATGGTCGGCTATATTGAAATAACGCGTTAAAAACTCTTCTCCACCGCCGCGGGGCCTGCACAGGAGGCTAATTGGAGATACCAAGCGCTTCTAACACTGCTTGACTGTTTTTAACAGTCAATTAGATATAGAGGTCCAAATACTACATGTGTTAATGGGCCTAAATTCTCCTCCTAGCTCTGATTGGCGGATGTTTTTCCGCCAATGAGATATAGGAGGTTACCACGTAATTTTATCTTACAAATAACTTTGTTAGTATTAACATTTTAATGTCTTGGGGTGGTGGGACTACGGCGCACAGATATGTCAACTTTGTCAAATATTTAAATGTTATTGTACTTTTTTGTTGGGTGGCGCTGTTAATATAAGTTGTTAAGTTGAGTGCAGCATCACACTGTCCTTGTTATGTTTTCATGTTTTGATGAATAAAAAAAAAACAATGATTAAACACTTCAAAAACTGGATCGTGAGATATATAAACCGGACTTTCCGCTGCAGTACTATAACAATCCGCCAGGGTCCAAAAATCTTATCATTTCGAGGTCTACCCACTTGACCAAATATAAAGACAATACATACAAACATTCTCGAGTTATCATGTTTACAGACACACACACACACACACACACACAAACACACACACACACACACACACAGAGAGAGACACACACACAGACACACACATGTACAGACACACACACACGCACACACACACACAGACACACACAGACACACACACACATAGACACACACACAGACACACACACAGACACACACACACACACACAGACACACACACACACACACACACAGACAAACATAAATGCACTTAGCGCCGCCATGCGGTAAGGAAGAGCAATGCAGAAGACGTACCATGTTGCCCCAAAATATCTCCGGCTTGAAACTGGCGTTTGGCAACAGACCCAGGCTGCAGAAGATGTGAAAACAAACGTTTTAATACTCTCTCAGAAAACTGTTAAATCAATTCAGCAAGCGAAATAAGAACATGTTTGCGACTTGCGTAAGCTACCAACCCGTTGAGCGCTTGCATTGTACGCTAAGGCCACAGCAAGTAATTTTTATGGATGACATCAGCGCGCGTTAATTTTCGCCTGTTTTTTTTTGAAAAAAAAAACACAAGAAATGTTGTTGCCTTCTGACAGTGGTCAACATGCCAAAAATGGGCAAAGATGTCTGCTGCCATGCCGGAAAAGGTGGATGGCAGATAACTTTGAAGAGAGGAGACAAGAAAAGACTCTGACTTAATGTTTTGTTTCTTACTTTATTTGGTGCAATGACATGTGATGCTGGCTGTGCATATGTGATGTTCCCACTGAATAAAAACCATTTGTACAATGATTGAGTCAAAATTTGAAAATGTAGGAACCTTGTATTTTTCGGCTCGCCTTATTTTTTTTCGCTCGCTCCCATTAGATTTGGAGTCTGCAGAGGATGTCATCCATAAAATGTACTTCCAGTGGCCTAACATTAACGTTTATAACGTTCTCTATTGACTCGACAAAAGTGCATGGGTTTTCGTATGGTCTACGACAACTAAGATCGAACAAAACTAAATACACGTATGAATAAAGTCATCCTACTTACAGAATATATGTATGCAGCAAACTACACACAGAATCAGAATATATGTCAACGGTAACATTTTGAGGTTTAACTATTGTCTAACATGCAGTCTCTTAGATTTAAACATTCTTTAATGTATTTCCCGAGCTAAGTTACCTTTTGGTAAACCTACACACAAAGGGCATTTCCGCTATCGCGCGCACTGCCACCGGGCTAGGGCCAGCGCCTTCTCGGACCCTGTACTGGGGGCCTGCATGGCTTTTTCGTAAGGCGTAATCAAGAATTTTTAGTCTTCGTAATGCGTAGGCAGCCTCCCCAAAATCAACGTAATTCGTAATAGCACATTAGCTGCAAAGCGTGAAGTCGTAATCAGCTCTGAGACTTTAACATAATTCGTAGTCCGCGGTGAAAATTTTGCGTAATTCGTAATCACTACACTACATGGGTATGTACTGTCTCTATATAGTCTATGTACACCGTGAGAACAGTAACACATGTGCCGGTAACATGACAGGGGCGCGCGCGATAGATATACCAACAAGTACAGGATATGAGGATGGTTTGACCGATAAGGACAAGCAAAAATAAGTCACAAGTAGAAAAGTAGAACTGTAGAAAATTCCGCTACCCAAGATCGCATCTGAACGAACATTACGGTACGGAGGACAGATGTATTCAAACTGTATGTTTCAATATACTTCTAAAATCTTCTCGTAGTAATGCCGTATTTATCTTAGTTGTCAGTCCATATAGACACCGGCAATATGGTACATAACGAAATTGGCAGATGCATAGTTCACCTCTTGAAGAATGGTCACTTGAGGATAACTTGAGTTTGAAATGGACATGAAAGAACGAGAAAGACGTGCGCCTGGTTAAGTCATACCATAATTGAGCAGTGAGCATGATTCATATGGTTTGTCTCGCCTAGGTGGTAGACTGTACGTCGACGTACATTTGTAGCTGGCGGCTTAAAATTCTGCTTAAACTTTGACTGGCCTGTTTGCCTCCTTCACTACAATAACTGTACTGTTTTCACCACAATTACTGTACTTTTCTAAAAGAAATATCAGGGAAATGTCACCTTCTTTGACAGAGCTGCTTCGGTGGAGCACAGAACAGAGCTGGAGAGTATGATACAGACGAACCAGTGCGCCTCCATGCTTACAGTAAATAAAGTACAAGCAATGTCCGGACCTTCAATGACTTCCTAGTCACGTGGCTCCAGAGACTTCTATATAACCACGTGTAGTTCTACCACGTGTACGTCTTGCCCTAGCTGCGGCGAAACAGGCTAGCATCCTTTGCAGGCGTTAGGGATAGAGATAGAAGGATAGGGATAGAGGGATAGGAGATAGGGATAGAGGGATAGGGATAGAGGGATAGGGATAGAGGGATAGGGATAGAGGGATAGGAATAGAGAGATACGGATAGAGGGATAGGGATAGAGGGATAGGGATAGAGGGATACGGATAGAGGGATAGGGATAGAGGGATAGGGATAGAGGGATAGGAGATAGGGATAGAGAGATACGGATAGAGGGATAGGGATAGAGGGATAGGAGATAGGGATAGAGGGCTAGGGAGATAGAAATAGAGGGGCAGAGATAGAGGGATAGGGATAGAGGGATAGGAGATAGGGAAAGAGGGATAGGGATAGAGGGATAGGGATAGAGGGATAGGAGATAGGGATAGAGGGATAGGGATAGGGAGATAGAAATAGAGGGGTAGAGATAGAGGGATAGGGATAGGGATACAGTGATAGGAGATAGGGATAGAGGGATAGGGATAGGGAGATAGAAATAGAGGGGTAGAGATAGAGGGATAGGAGATAGAACTCAAAATCGAACTTTCCCCAATACATGTTCACCCTTTTATTTATTCCAACATTTAACACAAAACATGGTGACGGCACATCGTACACTCAATTTGTTTTTTTTTTATTTTTAATTTTTATGCCACTACCAACACAGAGTACAATAGACAATGCTCAGTTTCACCTGTCCTGGGTTAAGTAAGGAAAGCCATGTTAAGTAAGGAAACCTGAGTTAAGTAAGGAAAGCCAAGGGCACAAATTCGAACTCGGGACCTCTTGGTTCCGAGCCGAGAACTCTGCCGTTACGCCACACGACCCCACAAGTTCACTTGGGGACATTGTGTAACATTATGACGTCATAAAGAGAGATAGACCCTAAGTTCCTTGAACTCAGCAGCTAACAGGTCACACATACGGGTACTCATCAAAACAATGGATGAGAGACAGTTGGTAACAATGAACGATTGTTCCAGAACAATGTTTCACGCCAACATCGGGATCGAACTTCACTTTCGAAAACCTACACTAAGTGACAGACGTGGTTTTATCCGCTCTTCGTTTAGTATTATTCGAAAGCTTCCAAAGGTGAATTTTCGACTTTTTCTCGTCGTCAATTTCGTCGTGATCTAACTTGAGACCGTAGGGTCTCTACTTTTCCCCCCAAGATGGGGAAACGATGGAGGTGTAAAAGACTCCAAATAATAAAGCGATGGCTGCAGAAACACATCTGTAAGCCTGTTGGTAAGGCGTTCGTCCGCGCTTTCTGTGCATGCGTTTGCCTACCTGTTGAGACGGAGGAAGACCTGGACTTCTTGTGGGCCCACGCCTTGAGTATGGAGGACGACTCCATTAAGACCATAGGTAAGTTTTTCACAAAGTTAATCTCATTAAACAGATATGTCGGTATCACCTGTTAGGGCGTTGTTTTTTAATTACTACGTACGTACGGTGGCCGTAGGCGCATGTTCTATCTCGTCACCAATGTGATACTAAGGTCTTCTTGACTTAGAACGACGCAAAACGTCACTTCTTTTCCTGGAGAGTCGCAAGACACTGACTTGATCTTAATACTGATACAGGTATCAAAACAAAACACTAAAGATCACAAAGAAGACATGAGGTAAATGGTACAAAACGCACAGAAAGAAGGTGTGTTTACTTGTGCTATGCCGGCTGACGACAAGATCTAACGTTACATGTATACTGAGGTAGAGTTTAAGTAACTTTTAATTAGATTAGTTTTCGCTACATGCATATGAATTGATGTTGAATCCTTCATTTGTTGAATTGAGATGAATATTAACTGAAGATGCAGACTCAGTGATAGCACGGTGGGTCAATGAACTTTCATAAAAAAAAGTTTCAAGGCTTCCTGCACTGAACATTAAGTTAAGTATAACTATTAAGGTTTTCGTAGATTTTGCTCTTTGTTACCACTGTTACATGCTTGAAAGACAATCACATGCCATTCCATAATCTGTAGAAGTCGAAGATTTCTTGTTTTCAACTAAAATTGACCCTTAAAGCTTCAGTAAGTAAAGTTTGAATACGAGTTTTCAGTACCCACCTTTGTAATGATGCTCTGCTGTCCACTGTGTTTTAGGGGCCTACTAAAAGGTCTACCGTCACCAATTTGACTTTTATGTCAAGAACCGATGCTATTTTGTAATTCTTTATTGGCCTGCTAGCTCTTTGTCCCAATACTTCACACTTATGTGCAAATATTAAGTTTTTTAAGGCTTTGTCTGGTTTTTTTGTTTACGTTTCTACCCCCTACTTTGACACGATGGTACAGTCTGGGAAATATCCCGGCATGCCTATCAGCGAAATGAAAGAAAAATGGCGGTAAAATTTGTGTTGTGACTGGAGAAGAGCATCGAATATTGGCAAAATACGACCCGTAATCCCGAATAACTTCCACATTTGACAGCCTGTACACGAGGTAAGGGGTATTAAGAGTTTACAGCGCTATCTAGTTTCTCTATAATCCATTTGTGGAGGGGCTATTTTACCTTTAAATACGGGATGATCGTAGTTTCGACTCGCGTGGTTTTGGGAGGGTGTGTGACCCCAAAAAATCTTGCTCCACATATGAGCGAACTTTTATTTAACTTTTGGTGGACATGTACCGAGTAACGTTGCCTACCTTAGAGCTGTTTTGTTCCATCCTGTCTTTACCACGTATCAAAATGGTCCTAGGAATAGTAGGATGTCCACTTTCATGGGTCTACGTAGTCCGTACAGCATCAAATTTCTGCATATGCTCACATAGTACGCTGCCAGCTCTGGGAGTTTTTACATATGACTGAAAATGATATCGGGGTTATGGTGACAAACAGCTGTTTATAATTTGCAGTCCTGGGTGGTCTGATAGCCAATCTATAATCTTTTTTCTTACCCCTTCTACAAGTTCACTTGAAAGTATTTTTTTTAACAGGCACTAGCCTATTGACAAAGGCTGTGGATTATAACTTCAGGTCAATGATTGGCACTTCATATAAAAATTAAAATGTTGTCATGGCAGCCTCGAGAATTATACTGGGTGCATATGTACCTTAATTTGTGCAGGTAAAATTAGGGCTGTGCAGGTAATTCTGGTGTCTACCTGCACCATGTGCAATCATGTGTGTGTATGTGGATTTTTATGTGCTGCATTCACATTTACAATCACTGTTAGTGTTACCACCTATGAAGTAGAAAAGTTTAATGGTTTCTGAACAGTTTTTAGTATGGTACATACTTCTCAAAGTCTGAGTGGTACAGTTGTATCAGTGTATACTATGCCAAAAAAGGGGGCCCGCATGCCCTTTTCCGTCGAGTGTAAATACTAATCGGCCGTATTAATTCTACGTAGAGTGTAGATGGAACGTATAGCGTTGTATTGTAGCCACTTGGAATTTATCGTAGAGCAAAATCAAGTGGATTCCTAAATTCGGCGTAATACATAGCCAGCTCTTAAAATTTAGCGTAGAGCGTTGTCAGGACCCCCCATGCAGGCCACTTCAAGCCCGGATTCTTTGCAATTGCAGTGAATATGGTAGAGGAGCATAGAGTTTGCACCACATCAGGCCAGCAGGACATGGACGCTCCTCCCAGGAAGCGATCCAAGCTGAGCCTGTCATCCAGGAGGAGGGACGACTCCTCTTCAGTTGGAGTGACGTCAACACGGGGACCGACCGCGGTCTACCCGCTGTTTGAAGTGAAGGGTACGGATTCATCATCCGTCGCTGAGAAGCCCGAGAACTCTCACGTAGAGAGGTGAGAAGTTTTAATTATGTTTACCAAAGGAAAACATATCGTTTTTGCTATGTTTCTTCTTCTCCTTCTTCTCTAAACAATGACGTCAATGACCTGAACCAGACTGTCTGTTACTATAGTAACTTGTCTTGGGTTACATCATGTTGCAATTTTATAGCAGGAGGGATTTAGACTCCTGTCTGACCTTATATATGATTATGAATGTGTGTGAGTTAGAATTAGCAGAGCACACCATCATGCATTTGCTTTGCAAATGTAATTACTTCTCTAGTTCAAGTGTGATTTAATTGGTTGAAGTTGTCAACATGCTGAAATTTAGACTCTGAAGTTACAGATTATTTATTGACTACAAAAAGTACACAAGTCTACTACTACAACTAATATTGAAAAAAACTAACTACATGTATAAATAAACAGAATACATTATGAATACAGCAAACTACTTACTTACTGAGTACAGAATACAGTATACATTAGTGGCAAAATTAGTTAGAGAACTAAAAGTTCAGGAGTACTTACTCTCATGTCCCTAATAAACATACCCCCCGGAATAAACATACCCCCCAGACAAATCTTCAAAGTCTAATAAACATACCCTCCGGAATAAACGTACCCCCCGGAAAATGACCAAATTGACAGGTGAACTGTGTGTTCATGATACTAAAATGTGCTCTTTATTTCAATACCAATATATGGGCAAATCTTTCACTGTTACATTTAATTAGTGAGTATATATCACTTTAATTAATGAGTATATATATATTATACTTGTTTTGGGGAAATACAAAATCCGTAGGAGAAGCTATTGCATTTTACACTTCTGAAATGCACTTTGCTAAGCCTTCTCCTGCAACTTGAGTTGAAAATCTGACTAACTTAAGAGATAGAAAATCAAGCCCAATTAAGTACAAATATAGGGGTTTAATGAGTATATGTACAACAAAATCCATTTCAACATAATAATTATTTGGTATGGTACATTGTCTAGTCTGGTCAAAGTCTGGATTCTGAAGAAGAAAAACTTCTGAAGAAAAAAACTTTTGAAGAAAAAAATATTATTCAGCATAAAATTTTGATTGGTTTCCATCTCATTGTTTTTTTAAAAATCGATAATGTGATTGTATCAATTTTAAAAGCCCTAAAATTAGCTAAATCGGCGCTTTTACGGTGATTGCGCAATATGGGTGCCCTATGACCTTTGACTTTTTATGGGTCATGCTGCTCAGGCGCTAGGCGCCCTCCCCACGTCGGCCGTCCGTCTTGTGGGCAAATTTCTACTTTTTTAGGGGTTTCGGGACCTAAAAACTAACACCAGAGGGAAAATAAACCACATACGTTTTTTCATGGTAAATATCGCTAAAATGGACCAGGCATTTTTCTGCCGCGTTGCTGATTTTGACAAGGACTTGCGGCCACCATGTGCTAAATACGTCGATTAGCTACTCGCCTTCCCCTTCGGTTTTGTGGGCAAATTTTTGCTTTTTCAGACGTTTTGGGACTTAAAAATGGACAGCAGGCGAAAAATAAATAATATACATTATATTCATGGGAAATGCCGCTATCATGGACCAAATATTTATCTGTGACGTGTTGCCGAATTTTGCGGCCGCCGGCCACTTGCATGATGGTGCGGTACGTATGGACAATTTTTCCCCAAAAATTAATAAACGTACCGTCCCTTATAAGAGTGTACCGGGTGGACGTTCGGGCCGAAAAAAATAAACGTACCGGTACGTTTAATCGGGACATCAGAGTAAGTAGCTGATTTTCAGACATGGTCAGCAAAGGGTACTCATAGGTAGTATAGGAGGACATGAAATTTTGAAAGGAAAGGTGTATTGCACTGTCTTTGTCAAAACTACTACATGTATCCATCATATTGAAAGTCATGTCTACCTTAGATCAAAAATGCAAGGACATTAGATAGACTACAAATCTGATAGGTTTATCTGTTGTATCACACAGACCCCTCAGTGTCAGTGTAAGCCTGACAGAACAGGCACAGGAAGCCGCCCTGGTACCTGTTAGCCGAGATGTACAGTTCACACAGGACGTAGTGCCAGCTCTGGCCATCTGGTAGGGTTAGGAGTAGGAGATACTAGTAAAATCAGTAGGAGTACTACTGTAGGAGATACTAAGTATAATTCAGTAGGAGTAGGAGATAGGAGTAGTAAAGTTCTAATCTCCAAGCAGATCCCTTTCGGTGGCAAAAAGACAGTATCAAATTGGCCAGGCAGTATCCATTAGCCAGAGAAGGTGGCCACCGTGGAGGGGGTAGCGACAAAAAAAAGGCCATATATAAAAAGGCCCCCACAACCTCTGTTTGGAGAGTAGTAAAATTCAGTAGGAGTAGGACATACTAGTAAAATTCAGTAGGAGATACTCGTAAAATTCACTAGGAGTACTGTAGGACATGCTACGGTAGTAAAATTCACTAGGAGTAGGAGATACTAGTAAAATTCACTAGTACTAGTAGAAGATACATGTAATAGTAAAATTCAGTAGAAGTAGAAGATAACTTGTATAATTCAGTAGGAGATACTAGTAAAATTCAGTCAAATTACAACTAGAACTAGTGGTAAATATACATGTATCTAGTTTTATCTTTGACATGTGAAAAAATGAGGATGTTTACATTTAGCTGAATTAGCCCCCAAAATATTGTTTAATTTTTTTTACAGTGTGTTGGAAAGACCAACCAAGTTATACTTATCAGGCTTGTTGCATCAAATTTCTTTGAAAGCATGTCTCCCAATACAGTATAAGTTATATAACATGCAGTCTGATAGTGTACAGTACATGTAGAACTTTTTGTTTTGTCACCATGCTAAAGGAAACTGTAGTAAGACTAAGAGACATGGAAAAGGACAACAATATTCTCAGCACTCAAATGTAACATGACATGTTAAAGATTGTAGTACAATTGTACAATATTACTAACAATTACCCATAATGTACTGTCTTGTCTACAGTGACAGCCCCTCAGTAGTGCTGGATGTGCCGACAGCCCCGTCCAAGTGTGATGTCCGTACAGTGATGAGTACCTACAGATACGGCGAGTTTGTCCCGTTTGTAGGACTGTTTAACCTGCATAACACATGCTACATGAACTCAGTGTTGCAGGTAAGTCTCATGTTGTAAAACATCATTTCTATGGACATGTATGTACAGGTTTCACTTTAGATATTGTTATGGTATGTTTGTTAATTAAAATGATGTGCTTGAGGTAGTCATGATAGAAATGGCAAAACTTGACATTACAATGTACATGTACATGTATCAAAGAGTACATAGCATTGAGGCTATGTATAAAGCTTCTAGTGTGATTGTGTTAACTAAGGCCATGTTGATTTGATTATATGGATGACATCCGCGCGCGCATGAATTTTCGGCCGTTTCCAAAAAAAAAAGTTTTCAACCATACTGTAAATCATACAAAAATATACCATAAGTTACAAAAAAATTAATAAAAACTATACCAATGTCGTAGAATGCCAAAATCAAATGAAAAAATACGAAATTGTAAAGAAATGAACTTGAAGACTAGATTATTCGCCAAACCATATTCTGTGCCATTTGCTCAACCCTCATGACCACGTAGATTTCATAATGAAAACAACTTTTTTTTTTTGCAAAACTTTTTTTTATTCGCACGCGCGCATCAGTTTTGGGGCTCCCGGAGGATGTCATCCATATAATCAAATCAACATGGCCTAATAACATACTTGGAAATGTAGAAGAGTACTTACTTTGTTACTATTGATACATGCCAAGAGAAATGGCTGTCTGCATGCGAAACCGAGCTAGCTAGGCTTGACTCTATACAAAGGAGAGCCCTGAAAATCAGGAAACTTTCCTCAGCTGGTCTGTCCAAGGCACGCATCAAACCTTTGGACCACGCAGGAAAGTTGGCATATTGACTCTCTTCCACCGTATGTACCACAGAGAGGCACCAGCCCTACTAATTGATCTTGTTCCTAAACACAAAGAGGTGCGGCGGGTGACACGCCAGTCAAAATCCCATCACGAAAACACTCTGGTGGTCCTTGTCTCCCACACCAACAATCATATGAGAACCTTTGTACCAACAACTGTTAAACTTTGGAACAGTCTTCCGAGGGAGATCGCTAAGATCAGGGACAGACAGAGATTTAAACATGAAGTTAATTCTTTCCTCAGCGCAAAACTCTGACAGCGTTCTGTCTAGGCGGTCCGGCTGCTAATGCTGAGTGAGAGCTGACATACTAGTAGATAAAATAAAATAAAAAAACTGTACAAAGAAATTAGAGCTGGAGTTACTAACTCAAGTTAACAGTAGCCTTTTTCTCGTCTAAGATCCTGATCCATACTCCGCAATTCGCACTGAGGTTGGCGCACCTGCAGGGAGATCTGAGAGATATCTACGTTGACGCTCGCGCGCGCTTCGACAAGGCATTGAAACGCAAAGTAGGTCTTGAATTTACATAGCAATTATTTACTTCATTTAATACTTGATCAGGGCTCGAAATACTGGGTGCATATGCACCTTAGTGCACCCAAATTTGGAGCTGTGCACCCAATTTTTTTTCTGTGGGTGTACAGTGCGCACAAGTGTTTTTGTAGGTTTATGTATGTAAAGATGTTAAATGTATAGTAGTATACTGCATATTCTTCAACTTGATATTGAAGTTCCAGAAAAAGGATAAAATTATTGTTGTAGTACTTCAGAAATGAAACATAATTAGTTTTTGCTGATATTCTTTACTTTTTAAGGTTGGGTGCACAGGTGCACCTATTCCCAAAAATTACTTTCAAGCCCTGTTTATCTATAGTAGAAAAATTACATATATAGGAAATTGTTAAATTGGTACTGGAATATCATTATTGTTTGTTATGCTGATCATAAGTTAGATTTGTTGCATTTATTCCTACATGAGTACTGTACATCATGTTTTCATGTTAACATGAATTCTCAAATTCTAAGGCTTAGGCCACTACTAGATGAAGAAGGATGGGCTTCTATTCTAAGATTAAGAATAACTGATAAAATGAATACTACTGCAGCACTACTCTCACCTCTCGAATAAACGTTCCAGTACGTTTTTTTTTTTCGCCTCAAAATCCGTCCGGTACGTTCTTATTTTAGACGGTACGTTTATTTCTTTTTTCATTATCGGCAAAATTCGGGGAAAACATGTCGGTTTTCACATTTTCCAGGGGGTAATTTTATTACATTATGAAGATTTGTCCGGGGGGGGGGTACGTTTTATTCCAGGGGGTACTTTTATTCGAGAGGTGAGAGTATGATGTTATTTTTAGACTCCTAGTAATAATAAGCATGAAGTGTAAGAATATGTGTTTGGCTTTCCTTTACAGTTCTCAGAGTCAGAGTTCAGTCTGCTCAACGAGTTGTGTCGGGTATGTGGTTTATTTTCTTTTGATCAGCACTAGGAATAAATGGAAATCTTACATTAGGCCACACCAAGTAAATTTTATGGATGACGTCCAGTGTTCTCACCAGGATTTTTTCACAGCATAGGGGGCCAGGTTGCGGGTCAAGCCGCACATCGAGCGCCGAAGGCGCGAGTAATGTAGGGGGGTCCGGGGGTATCCTCCCCCGGAAAATTTTGAAATATATAACCCTCTGAAACACCATTTCCTGCATTTTGAGGGTCAAATTTTGAAAAAGTTTTCACCTTTGTTACAGCTTTTTTTAAAGCCAAAATCTATTTCCAAATTCATGAAGGGTCATAATAAATGGAGTTACTTATGCTTGGTATAGGTCTTTGGCAAAATACTTTTTTTTTATATTGTACAACTAAATATTTAGGAATCATTTTGACATGATTATAAATCTGTTATGCATGTTTCAATGTTTCAAAAAGGAAACTACAGGAGTACACTTGTATCATGTTTTAGAATTTGTTCTGATATTTTAACTTTGCGACACAGTCAAAATTGGCCCAACCCTCGGCATAGTTCAAAGGGTTTCTTTCATCTGTCAACACAAACATCGGCAGTCAGCAAGAGGTTCTCAGTTGGTAAATACGCTGTGATTCCCCATGTCATTAGTAAATTATATTGGTAAAATGGTAGAATTACTTGATAATGAGCTATATTACCGACGAAATCAAGAACATTTTGAGGGAAAACACAGTAAAAGCGGCTTCCGTCCAGCTGTGTCAATTTCTAACATGTGTTGCGTGCGAGCCATCTTGGAAGAGTCTATTCTGTAAGCAGGGGGAAAGTTTCTTGGAAACAGTTCAAGCCCTTGTCAAATTATAAGAAATACGATATTTTGCAGGAATAACATGGTATAATTATATTTTAATGCTTAGATTTTGAATTTAAAATCTTATTGACAGATGTTGAAAGGTAGACAACATTACAGTTGAGACATCTTGGTCCCTTGAAATGAACTTATCCAAAGCATGCCGCCCATGGCCGAGCGTTGTCCTGTTAGCGCTGTCTGTTTGATTTTTCGGTAAATTTCTCCATGCAAGACGATCCAGCCAAAAAAATGGACATGTTTGGACAACAATAAAGGATGTATGCTGTTGAGTGGCGTACATAATGGCACCCAGGTTTCTGCGATTAGAGATTTATTTCCGCCCGTCATGTTCCCGGCAAGCATGAGGGAGGGCAGGTACTTCAAGTTCTCGTTTCGGTACTTGTTTACCTCACAAAATTTGGGTATTTCTGCTAGTTTTTAGGTGTAATTGATAAGAAATCTCAAAGACTAGGTACTGATGTAAGTGATAATGTTTGTTTCCGAGCACTGAGCTTCGAACATTGTACGTACAGGCAAAACTTAGCGATCCGGCTGCTCCCGAGCCGCTCCTCGGCCTGAATCTCACGCCCATATGTCACGCCCGTCTATCGCCGCCAATTTGTGGGGTTTGATTAATTAACTCACAGCAGGTTGTGAATCACTTCTTTGTCACTTGAAACTGCCTTCTATGAGATGTTCATTGTGCCGAGAGCAAAGACATTATTTTTATCAAGTTTAAAGCAAGGATTATTACGACGGTAGCCGAGATCAAAAGGGTAAACATCAACTGAAAATCCCGCTACGCTGGTCGGAAACACAGCATAGCGGCAAAATTACAGCGTAGCGGAACAAATTCACAGCATAGCGGCCCGCTATGCTCAAAAGGCCTGGCGAGAACACTGACGTCCTTTGGAGACCCTAAATCTAATGCGAGAGGGCAAAAAAAAAACAAGGGCCCTAAAAAACAACTGGCCTACATGTAGATCAGAAATATACTAAGAGACGACAAATGTTAGGACACAAATTGAATGAGGTGACACAGTGTAACAAGCAAAAAGTCTTTTATTCATCATCAAAACAGCAATAAATCAGGTGGAACATGCAGTTGTCCTGTCCTGTTTTCGCGTTACGGGTTTCACGTCAATCTGACGATTTGTGGCACTCTTTGGTCATACATGGTGACAGGAAGCAGAATTTCTTTTTTTTTTCTAGGAACAGGCCAAAATCAATGCGCGCAGACGTCATCCATAAAATTTACTTGGTGTGGCCTTACGGTTTTAACAGCAGCAGTTTAGGTTAAAACTATTTCCCAAATCAGTTTTGTTTCATTGTGAAAAGTACACTGTTATTATAACTGTATGGTTCGGCTGAAAGTATGTTATTGTGATGTGATTGTCAATAGCTCAAATGTTGGCAAAGGCATAGTACTCCCTTGTCTTTGTTTAGATGGCAATATACATGTTCTATAATGTGTGGGGCACAGCATCAGCTGAATTTGCTGCCTGCTCTCTATCACTTATCCGCAGATTTGGTCACTGTTCTCATGCGGTGAAACGCACTCTGTTCATAGCACACTGCAGTGCAATGTATTGTGCTCAGCTTTGGTCCAGCTACAGAGCAGGAAACATTCATAGGCTACGAGTTGCTTATCACGATGGTCTTAAAATCCTACTGTCTCAGCCTAGGAGTACTAGTAACAGCGACCTATTTGTACAGACTCGTGTCGACATGTTTGACGCCAGGCGCCGGAAGTTGTTGTGCTCTTTTGCTTCGCGTCTCTTAGCGTCTGAGAACGCAATTGTCAAACTGCTGCTCTGCTCGGAGACCTTTTGCTCTAGCCCATTCTGGAGCCACTACTGTAGACTGGTCCGCCCATCGTAAGGGCTCGACAGTCTTTTATCTACTTATACCCATTTAGATGTTTTATTTTAGATGTGTTTGTGTAATGTTGTCTGTCTGTGCTATGGGCCATTGAGCCTGAAATAAACAATAAATAAATAAATATTTGTATTGCCAGTGTTGGAAATACCCACATTGCATTTTGCAGAGCCATTTTCAATATTGCAGAAGAAAAATCAAGCAACCTGGAATTTTGCAGACTTAAAAAATACAGGTTCAATTTCTAGATCTTGTGCATATGGCCACAGTTTTGCCCAGATGTGCCGCACAAACAACATACATGTATCTTGCTTCTACTGTTACTTGTTTCTTACTGTTACATGTAATGCTATAGAAAAGATTGTATATTTGCAGAAAGTATTTGCAAATTGCAGAACAAAATTTTGACATTCCTCAATATGGCAGAACACTGCAAAAAAAGGATTTTGTTGATTGCTGTTGCAGTTCAACTTGAATAAAATGGTGATACGCGTACGTGAAGCTTTTTTGTGTGTGGGTTTGATTGTAAGTCCACTGTAAGCTTGGTTTGCTTATTGTATGATGATGTTGTTTTTACAGTTGTTCAGGAAGGTTGGCACGCTAAAACTGGATTACATACTAGCTCCCGAGGCTCGGACAGAGCGCTTGGCGATCGAACCCGTTAGAACCCTGGACGCCATCAAGTGAGTCACTCATCTTCTGCATATTACACCACATTTTGACCATTGGCTCAGTATCACCTCTGAATACAAGCAATCACTGTCTTTGTTACATCATATACATGCAAATTATTTGGACATATGCAAATTATTGGCACGCAAATCAGCCAACTGTCATAGTGTCAAAAGCTTTTTGCCTACCGCTCGCTGGCCATGACGTCATGGCAATCACTCGTATTGGTTCCTTTTTTGTTTTTAAAACCACTTACGATTTGTGTCTTATTTGTTTATTTTTGCTTAATATTTGTTTGTTTGGATTTTTCACAAAGTGAAAGGGAGGGCAAAACAGGTGCATACGCACCTTTACAAGTTGCCCCCCCCCCCCATACCCCCTTATTGGTGATAGCGATTGCTCGATGACTCTGTAATCAAGCGTCAAAATTGTTTTTACTCAGTTTCTTCCTCTTCTTCTGTTCCAAACACTAACCTCTGACCTGGCCAATGACATGATTTGTTGACATCTGTCACCATGGTGACTGGTGTTGGGTTACATAATGTTGCAATTTCATGGTCTGCTCTACTCCTGTCACCATATACTCGTAGTACATGTATGTGAATGTGTTTGAGTAAAAAATTAATAGGGCAGACCATGTCCGAAGGTAAACATTATACATTTGCTTTGCAAATGTTACTTCTCTAGTAAAATTATAGTTTTGTTGAGTTAGTACTGTATAATGAAAAGACCAACCATGGACTTCATTGTTCCTTTGTTCTGTGCTAGATAGATGGTTAATGTAGTTTGTGTTAAGTTTGCTATTGTTCCTTGTGTTAATAAAAGTCCATTGTTTCACCCTCAGAGAGGCGCATGGACAGTTTGCCGGGTCACTGCAGCATGACGCGCAGGAATTCCTGCGGTGTGTGCTCTCGTCGCTCCAAGACGCAAACGCGTCGATCCTGCAGTACCAGGCTGGGAGACGGGAAGAAATAAGACGCCAGCGAGAGAAACTGGATATCATATTGGCGGCAAAGCAGTCAAAGAGGGAGGCCACCATGATCAAATACGTGCCTGACGCCCGTCCCGAGAAGTGTCACGCACAGAATGGCGTACAGAAAAATCAACCCAGCAATGGCGTCGCAGTTCAGGGGTCCGCGGCGGTTGAACAAATGAAACAGACTATGGTATGACGAATAAACTAGTCTTCAAATTCAGTTCTTTTGCTTTTTTGTCTTTTTGGTATCATTTTACGAATTCTTTTTTGCAACTTACGGTATATATTTGCTCGTTTTGCACCTTTTTTGTACGATTAACAGTATGGTTGTCACGCACAGAATGGCGTACAGGAAAGCCGACCCAGCAATGGTGTCGCAGTTCAGGGATCCCCGGCGGTTGAAAAGCCTCCCAAGTTGAAGAAGAAGAGGCTTGGCGTGGGACACGCACGCAATCAGATCAAGATCACAAGATTCGCCAGCCCTAGCGACACTGTCACAGCCCCACGCGCGTCTGTGAATGGTCACAGTGGTCACGCTGATGACACAGCCCCACGTGCTAACGACAGAGTCTCCCGCGTGCCGGTCAATGGTCACAATGGGCACACTGATGATGACCCAGGCATGGTGGCAAAGCTGACAAATGGTACAGGAGACATGGAAGCTCAGGTGGACGGCACCCTGGCACAACAGGTGTGTTTTACATAGTGGAATTAAAAAATTGTGAAAAGATAATATTAGTGCTAATCGGTAAAGTCTAGAGCATAATGCCAACGGTTTTTAGATATATGTATGTAAAAAGTACTCAATTCAACCTATGGCTGCAGGGCTCAAAATTCGTTTTTGGGAATAGGTGCACTGGTGCACCCAACCTAAAAAATTGGGTGCACCATTATTTTTCTGACACCTGACAGATAATATGACCTGGAGAATATACAGTATACTAGTTACGACTATACAGTTACATACGTTAAGCTATGAAAATATTCGGGTGCACTTGTGCACCCACAGGAAAAAATGGGTGTACAGCTTAAAAATTTGGGTGCACTAAGGTGCACGTGCACCCAGTATTTCAAGCCCTGCTGCAATGTACTTTTGACTTGATCCAAATAAACCGTTTGTTCGTTCATTCATTCATCCATCCATTCATCCATTCATTCATTCATTCATTCATTCATTCATTCATTCATTCATTCATTCATTCATTCATTCATTCATTCATTCATTCATTCATTCATTCATTCATTCATTCATTCATTCATTCATTCATTCATTCATTCATTCATTCATTCATTCATTCATTCATTCATTCAGGTGTCTACAGTCAAACTGGATGAGAAGACCGCAGAGTGTGCAGAGGAAAAAATGGAGACAGAGCCGTCCGTCAATGGTACCAACGGTCACGTGCGTGATGGTCCAGAGAACCCCAGCCCAACAGAGGACAGCCCAGAGTCTCTTCAGCTGGCAGAAGAGGTTCTTTATAAATCATACTTAGGACACACCAATTTGATTTGTTGGTTCTCTGATTTCTTTCCGAAAAAAAAAATGAAGCAAACTAAAAAGGTAACATTTGAAAAGCAAATGCATAATGTTTACCTTCGCATATGGTCTGCTCTGTTAATTCTTACTCAACACATTCACATACATGTATATGGTCACAGGAGTCTAAATCCCTCCTACTATAAAAGTGCAACATTATGTAACCCAACAACAGTTACCATGGTGAGAGACAGTCTGGTTCAGGTCATTGACCAGGTCAAAGGTTAGTGTTTGGAATGGAAGAAGAAGAAACAGAGCAAAGACAATATGTTTTCCTTTGGTAAACATTAAAAAAAAAAACAGACCTAGGCATCCTCTGATGATAGCCCCAAAAGCTAATGATAGGAGCCATAATGTAAACATACCAGGCTGGTTCATAGTTCAAATAATGAACTTTTTTGGTAGATGGAAAAACAATGAGGAAGACAAGGAGCTTTCGTCAACTGTTTGGGCCAAAATATGAGCTTTTCGGAGTTGATTGAGAACCCGAATCTGTTTTTTTTTTTTTTCAAATCTGAAAGAAATGAATCCAAGAATCAACAAATCAAATTGGTGTGGCCTTACTAAATTTCAGAATTCATATAGGTCACTGGTGCAAGAATGTACAGTTACTTTAGTATTACCAACTTAGTGTATGTTCATATACAATGTATTGTCTATCTACTACCATAAATTTTTTGAGACTTGTTTTTCCTCTGTGTTGAACAGAACTATTATTGGCAAGTCAAGTACAGTAGTTACAATTCTGTCATTTTCCATGTTTCAGGACTTTAAAATGCTGCAGGCAGATATGTTAACAAACATTGTGGAAGATTTGTTCGAGGGCAGTTTGGAATATGAAACCAGCTGTCTCCAATGTGAGATGAAGAGTCATCGTCGCGAGAAATTTATGGATCTGTCGTTACCAGTCAAGATGAATCGTGAGCCAGATGATCTGCAACAAGCTACAGGTAAGGCAGTGTACAAACTACTTTTTTGAACCAGGTTACCCAGTGGGCAACCTACGGCAAAAATTAGGTTTTTTAATCCGAATTTAACGTCATTTTTCCCAAACCCGGGGTTAGACTTGCTTGCTCCAGGTACAAGTCTTTTTTTGAAGCAAGATTTTTACGGCTGGATGCTCTTCCTAATGCCAACCCAAACCCTAGTAGGGCCCAGGAACCCTCTAACTAAGGGGGGAAATGCGTGTTAAGTGCCTTTTCCAAGGGCACAACGTCTTGGTGCAAGTCCGTACGGACTTGGTGCAAGTCCGTACACGACTGTTCTTGCTTGACAGTCGGACGCTCTATCCACTACACCACACAGACGCCACCCATCAGAATTTTAGGTTGCCCCACCTATAAGTTACTACTTTCCTCAAATTAAGTAATGTTACATAAGCCTTTGACAATATTTCTAACAGCCTTTAGTTAACTAATACTAGTAATATCTATTAATACCTAAAATGAAAAAGCATCTGCCAGATACAGTGGTGCCAAGTGGGCATGATTGAGGGGGGGAGGGCATTCTTAAATTCAGGTAGCACACTGGGCTACCTAGGTTCAAAAATAGGTTGCCCCAAGTAAAATTTGGTTGCCCAGGGCAACTGAGCAACCAGGTATTTTGCACGCTGTAAGGCTGCACCAATTTGAGTTGTTGGATCTTGGATTTTTCTCAGGAAAAATATGAAACAACAGGGTGAAAAAAAACAACAGACTTCGGTGTCCTATAATGGCCTCAAATGCTATGATAGGAGCCATGAAGTCAACATACCAGGCTGGTTTGTAATTCAAACAATGAATTTCAAACTGTTAATCAAACCACTGCATTATATACATTTTTGTATATTGATAGATGGAAAAACTGTAACAACTCTGAAGAGAAAGGACTTCCTTTAACTGTTGTGGCCAATTTTGGAGTTGATTTACAAATCAGGAAAAAAATGAAGCGGGTTAAATACAAGTCACAACAAAAGAATACTATACAGAAAGTGTTACATACATGTACATGTATATACATTATCATTGTCACACAAGTAGGTACAAGTACAACTAAGAAAAGTCTACTTCTTCTTAGTCTCACTTCTTAGTGATCAATCTACATGATACTCTGGCACAATCAGTCTACCTAAAGCCCGGACTAAGAGACTTAACAACTCATTCCTTCATTAAGCTGTTCGCCTCTATAACAAGACAATCCAGCAGTAGTGTTACATGTATATATATTGTACAATGTACCTAGCTAAATTCTTCGTGATAATTGTGCATTTACATTGTAACTGCATAGATTTTAATTGTGTAATCGTCTTAATATTGTGTTCGCCTATGTTCGCCCATGTAATCGTCTTAATTGTGTTTGCCTATGTTGTTTCATGTGCTTGATGAAGAGTGTCACAAATCATTGTTTTTAATGCTCTATGTACTATGTAATAAGGACGAAATTCGGGTATTCGCCCGCGAGAGCCTTACTGAATAAAATTTGATTTGATTTGACTTTTTTCCCAATCTGTTTAGGCGATGTGAGTCCAGAGAAAGAGGCCGACGACAAAGCAGACGTGGTGAGCCTTTCGTGGTCACTGGAAACTTTCATGGCAGCAGAGAAGCTGGACAGGGAAAACAAATATAAGTGTGAAGTAAGGAAGAACCATCTATCCAAATGAAAGTACTACTTAATGTACCAACACAGCCTGTACACATATCAGGGCTGGAAATACTGGGTGCATGTGACCTTAGAGCACCCAAAATTGGAGCTGTGCACCTAATTTTTTTCTGTGGTTGCACTGGTGCACCCAAATATTTCTGTAGGCATTTTTTACCTTAGAAATATAATATACCGGATATTCTTGGTCTCCAAGTATCAGAAAAATAATAAAATCTTTGTTGTAGATTTTAAAGTTAGCTCTCATTTTAGATTCAAGCTCAGTAAGACCTGCAAATAGGTTTTGTTTCATATGGTGCACCCAAAAAATTTTTTGTGGACCTAATTTTTTTTTAGATTAGGTGCACCAGTGCACCTATTCCCAAAAATGAATTTCGAGCCCTGCACATGAAAGTGCTGTGTGTCTGTGTCAGAAGTACACGTATTAACAGTTTGCGTGTCATGTTCTTCTAGAAATTCTTGTCCTCTTGAACAGGTACTGCGTAACACCCCTCAGTTGGGTTAAGACACACAGCAGGGAGAGTGCGCTGCACTCTTAATGACTCCCCATTTGAATTAATAGTTTAACTTTTTGTCATTTTTGTTAGTGACAGTACGATAAAAAATCTTTGGCTTGAAGTATTCAAAAAGCTGTTTCGATAGAAGTTAAAATATAACAGAGTGAAGTCTATTTAGACATCTCTTTCATGAGCATGGTGCTAGATTTACAACACTTACCAGCTACTAATGTCCATGTATTGCACATTATACTTTGAATATGAATACACTAAAAGTTTCCTCAGACAATTGGTCACACTTGGTCCACAGATTAGACTGATAATAAAAGTGAAACTGATTGAGTAAAGAAGCTCTTTTTACACAACCAAGTGTTTTATTCACAGTTGACGTTTCGGTGACCGTCTGTCACCTTCCTCAGGGCAATTCTGACTGGTTCACATTGCACTGCAGCACAGGTGTCGCTGCTACAGATGCATTCCCAAACATAAAATATTTACATATCTACAGCAGCGACACCTGTGCTGTGCAATGTGAACCTGTCAGAATTGCCCCAAGGAAGGTGACAGACGGTCACAGAAATGTTGGCTGTGAATAAAACACTTGGTTGTGTAAAAAAGAGTTTCTTTACTCAGTGACCTGCCAACATGATGAAACTATTCACCGATAGGTGTATTGAATTACAATAATGTACTACCTTTGTTCCAGTATTGCGGCTCACAGTCAGAAGCGGAGAGAAAAGTCTTCTTCGCAAAGCTGCCGAGGATCTTGACTATCCACCTGAAGAGGTTCGAGTATAATCTGACAGGGTAAGTCAGGGTTGCTGAGAGATGTAGTGCTAGATAATGCTCTGTTATACTACTGTAATTTCAGATTTTTTCTCTGTACTTTTACATGTATATTCACTGTTTTTAGAGTCACTTCTGTATCGTGAACTTATCATTACAGTAGTTAACAAATAATTCCTGGACTTTCTTTTTCCTGCACCTGTCACCACCGTGAATATGTAGTTCTGTGAACACCTCCATTTTTCTCAGACCGCAAAATTTTGCTACCGTGAACTAGTGATGCATACCGGTTCACTGGACTTGGATTCGGACTTGTAAGAATTTTTAGGTTCAAGTCCAAAAAAAAATTAAAAGTCAAGAACCGAGTCCGGACTCATTACCATAAAAGACCATTTCACATACCCCTTTTCTTTCCAAACCACCTAAAACCTTCCGTAGATTGTAAAATCTTTGCTGCAAAACGAAGAAAACATTGCCATCGGGCATCGTCAAGTACTGGCTTCCATGTTATGTGGTCAAAGTTTCACCCAGACAACATTGCAAGGTTGCCAACATGCAATTTTGTAAATGCCTGAAAGTCTTACACTAAACTGTTTTTTCACCCACAGGTCAGCGATGAGCAAAATCCATTCTCCCATCCTCACCCCGTCTCACCTCAAGCTGAACAGGTTCTGCACCGAGGCCTGTACGAATAAGCTGTACAAATATGAGATCTATGGAATCATCCTACATGAAGGCAGTGCTCTTGATTCTGGGCATTACGTCGCCTACGTTAAGGCTCCCATTGACTATCCCTTTATTAGGGAATGCTGTCTGAAGGATGAGGTGAGACCTTATGATATCTTTATTCAAGATGCACATCTTAGAATTATTATTTTTTTTGTATTTTGGTAAAGCATTGGAACCTTAGAATCCTTCTCCATATAACCTTAACACATTGTTAATTGTGGAGGAAATGCACTACTGTTCAGTTACTGTAATTCCTGATTTTTTTCGCGGTACATGTACTTTAATGTTCACAGTTTTCACAGTCACTTCTGTATCGTGAACTTATTATTACCATTGACATTATATAATTCTCCAACTTTCTTTTTTTTCTGCACCTGCCACCACCGTGAAAACATAGTTTGTGAACACCTCCATTTTTCTCAGGCCGCAAACTTTTGCTACCGTGAACAACAAATGAATTACTAGTAACAGTATTACATCAAATTTAGTTAGTATGACATGGTGTGGTAAAATTCCTAGACTATATAAAACCGGTGCAATAGCTCAATTGGTAGAGCGCTCGCTTTGTAACCGGGAGGTCGTGAGTTCAAACCCCCCCGGCCGGGTCATACCAAAGATTTTAAAAATGGTACACACTTCTTTCTCTGCACACTTCTTTCTCTTCACTCAGCACATACATGTATGAGAAAGAGTGTGGGAAGGTCAAACACACAGCACTACCAGCGGACTAGCCCCCTACTGTGGTGCATTGGACAACTGTGTGTCGCCCAAGGGCTACAGAAATGGATATGGGCACCACCCCTATCCTCTGCAATAGAGTGGAATGGGACTTTTTTTTATTTAAAACTTACACACTTCTTTATTTCCTCTGGATGCAGAGTTCCAGTAGCCCCCCAGGATCCCCAACCGCGGAAGAAACCGACACAACTGGTACTGAGGACGTCAAGGTGGTCGACCTAGAAACGTCCAACGGCCAACCGGAGAGAGAGCAGCAGCTCGCGACCGCCTTTGCCGAGTACGACCACTCCCTGCACTGGATTAAGTTCAACGACAGCACCGTAACCGTGCTAACGGAAGAAGAGGTTGCCGAGGTCTTTCTCCCCGAAAAAACGAACACGCTGAGCCCATACCTCCTGTTCTACAGACGAACGGATATAGCATACACCGAAGCGCCGTGTAAACCTGAAAAGAAGACATGTGAACCTGAAAAGAGTGTAGCAGAACAACAGGGTAACACAAAGACAGAGGCAACTGACTCCCCAGAAAAAGAGGAGGAGAAGGAGGAGGACATTAGTCGGTAGATTTTATATGTGATAGTGTTAAGACGAGAAGGGAAACAAACATAGGTTAAAAGGGTGTCACTGTGTAAAATGGAATAATTGCACACTATGATTGTACTACTGTTGGCCTGTTGTACTTTGTAAGGCCGCTTTGAGTAGATACAAGAGAAAAAAAGAACCTTTCAGTTTCAAACTTCACACTGACTAGGGAAATGCAACAGATTACTTCAGTGAGAAGTTTATCCAAAGTTTATACTGCTCAGCACAGTTGGCCTGTTCGACTTTGTGAGGCCACTTTGAGTGGAGGTGAAAGAAAAAAAAATAACTTTTTTACTGAATGTAGGGACCCAGTCATTTAAAAGGAAATGCAATTGCAACAGCACCTCAGTCTGTAAAAAGAAGTGTGTATACATGTCCTGATTCGCATTCCCGTGAGTGTTCTGAGAAGGTTCTGAGAAAAACAGAAATATTTTACATTCGTGCCCACTATGTCAGTATGTGTACCACTCAGGAACCAGATGCACGCCCTTCTCTTCATTCAAAGCGATTCAATTTCATGTTATGTCCTATAAAATGTGTAATATTCAAATTTATCTGCCCATGTGCCTTGATTCAAATGCTGTGATTGATATGTACTATATTGATATGAATAAAGAATTTGTTCATGAACTTGCAGCGTAAGAAGTCTTTCCATCCAGCGTCATATATATATATATATAGTACACTGTATGTTACAGTTCCTCTCTGTTCCTTTCTGCGATTTCAGAGCATCAAAACTGGAAATATTATGAATAAGGTAATCTTTATGATATTGACACATACTGCTTCACATTAGTACATTTCAATCAGTATTTTGTACTTTGGGTATTTAAAAGTGCAGAAACAAGCCCCAAGATGAGTCCTTTTATTTTCTGGGTGGTACCCTAAAAATCAGCCAAGGGCCCTTCCAGTAACCATGTTCAGTCAGATTTTTTTTTGCTCCATGAGGGTCAATATACATTGGGATAGTGTGGTTTTAACTCAGATATGTAGATAGGTGACTAAAATATCGACTTTAAAATAAATCGGGTTTCCAAGCCCTAAAAACTGCATTGGATGCCTTTGTTTCACCTTACCTCACGAGTCCCATGAAAAAGAAAAAGAAATTCTTGCATGCCGGGCACGCTAGCATCTCAAATAAGTCTCGTATAGGAGCATGGCTTGCATGGCAAGAATGCAAGAACACGTACTTCGAACCCTTTGAAGCTTTTTGGTTAAGGTTCCACACAAAACTAGATGGGAGCCCATATACAGTAGTTATTTAGTACACACTCTTTTACCCTGGATTACGATTTGATTGAGTCGAAAACACAAAAAGTCAGATGGGAAATTACTAGACCTGACAAAGGTGCCAAACTTTATAATTACATAGTAATGTTTTGTATGGAAGACGTACTTTTAAAGCACTGAAAAATGCAACATCTCTGGGAAGTAATATGACAGAAGTGGAGAAAATTATTACACTGTGTAACTAACTGATATGTATTAGATAATATGTGTTACAATCGAGTAGGACTAATCATGGGTTTCGCTATTTTTTTTCTAATAACAAAGTCTAACAAATTGTCAATCCGTTCTTGAGTTATCCTCTTTCGAATTGATTTCAACGAATGCTTCTGCAGTTCCAGAACAAGCCGCTAGGGGGCCCAAACTCATGTCACTTCTTCTCCAGCCCAAGAGTTACCTACCATCCAAATTTATGTCCAGATCACGAGATATCAAAACCGGAAGTTCAGCAGCTGCAGTACCATAACAAGCCGTCAGGGGGTCCGAAATCGAATCAGTTCGAGGTCACACCAAGACCTACCCACCTACCAAATATAAAGACAATGCATCTTAGCCTTCTTGAGTTATCGTGTTCACACACACACACACACACAAACGCACACACACACGAACGCCAACGAAAACATAACGTTCTTGGCGAAGGTAATAAAAGCGTATGTGGCAGGATGGCTCTTTGAGTTGTCGAAATACATATTTCAACTTTTAGCACGAAGGTAAAACCGCTTACATTAACTCTCGCTGTACATTATACTTGTATTCGCTTTCACTGCAGCATCATAGAAAGCCGCTAGGAGGCCCGAAATTGAACATATCTTTTTTGTTTGTTTTGTGGACACCTGCCCACACCCCCACTTCCCTCAAAAAGCTTGAAACAAGCTACTATGTATTAATTTTGGTTAAGCTTAGTAAGAGATGAAATAACCCTCTCACTTCACGCTACAAGTTACAACACAGAGCTGTTTCATATGCATAAAGCGGTCATATATAGCACGCTGTCAATGAGAACATTCTTTTGGGCGGGTGTTACATGACTTTGTAAAATACCAAATCTCTAGACAATCAAAGTGTAACCGACGTTTTTGTGGAGCCCGGCGGAGATCAGAACCATGTTGGGTGCAGCACGAGATGGCGTCTACTCCGTCTGACAGTTCAGAGAAAACTGGCGGGGCACTTGCAAGCGCATCTGCCCCGCCGAAGTCCACGCGTCCGCCGGTAGGGATACAGAACCGACCGCCTCCGCCACTCCCTTTCGACGATGTCGCAGAAATGCAGGACGAAGGGAGCCACAGCAAGCACGGCGAGGGGAAGGGAGAAACTGGCTTGTCGTCTCCACGAGATCTCGGCGAGCAAGCTCCGGTGGTACCGCCGCATCGCTCCAGACAGCCTCCGAGTCCACCGCCCCGTCACTCCGGATCCGGGCGGTCTCTGAAGCAACCGTCTCCGGGGCAACCGCCTCAGCACTCCGGACGGTCTCCGGGGCAACCGCCTCAGCACCCCGGACAGTCTCCGGAGCAACCGCCTCAGTACTCCGGACGGTCTCCGGGGCAACCGCCTCAGCACTCCGGACAGTCTCCGGGGCAACCGCCTCAGCACTCCGGACAGAGCCATGGAAGAAGGGCAGATGGGTACGACAATCTGCCTCAAACGCAAGACCACAAACACGTACATACGAATCCGGTGTACGCGGCAGGTTAGTTCCAATTTTACTAAGTAGCATCCACGGAAATCCACCAAAATTATACTAGTACCTACCTAGCAACGGAAGGGCCAACACTCGTACATTTTTATAATCCATTGATTCTGAGCAACAGATGTTGCATTTCATAGGAAAGGTATGAAAGCCCTGTCCTTAATAAGCACAGAAGGCCATACATGTATAATTATTAAATATATAATTTTTTTAGCCTTTTAGATCCTCACAACTTGCTACTGGTATCGAACCGTGGGGAGCGGACGAACTTGGCTAAAAGGCTGACACTCAAGCTAGCCTAACATTTTTCTTCTCGATTCTACAAATGCAGGCGCTACACACGAGCACACGCCCCTGAACCGGGATGCTCGCCGCGCCCCGCCTGGCCCCTCTACCCCGACACCAGGAGGAACAACCACCGCTGACGGGGACCCTCAGCACCCCGGACAGTCTCCGGGGCAACCGCCTCAGCACTCCGGACAGTCTCTGGAGCAACCGCCTCAGCACTCCGGGCGGTCTCCGGGGCAACCGCCTCAGCACTCCGGACAGTCTCCGGAGCAACCGCCTCAGCACTCCGGACAGTCTCCGGGGCAACCGCCTCAGTACCCCGGACGCTCTCCGGGGCAACCGCCTCAGCAGTCCGGACAGAGCCATGGAAGAAGGGCAGATGGGTACGACAATCTGCCTCAAACGCAAGACCACAAACACGTACATACGAATCCGGTGTACGCAGCAGGTTAGTTCCAATGTTATTAAGTAGCATGGTATAAGAAATATTAAATTCAGCCTCCTAGAAGACCCCCTTAAGTAGTTCTTGCGTATACGTCTTGTCCCAATAGAGTTTAGGACAGGAAACACAGAAAAAAAAGGCCTAATGCCATAGTCCAGTTACCATCATGATGACATTATAGCATAAGTTTTCTTGATCATGTTAGTAATTATGAAGTACTAAGGGACCGTTCGATATTTACCGGGGGAGGGCCGGTGCCTACGAGGGGAGGACCAAGGAAAAATCAGAAGTTCCAGGGGGAGGGACAAGGAAGAAAATGGATCGGTGGGGGAGGGCCAAGGAAAATTTTTTCTCAATATTCACATGCAATACCTGTCCAACACCTTTTTCAGAACCAGGAAAGTACACAATATATGACCTTTGAATTGTAAATTGCGGCTCGCCTGTCACGAGAGCGGGCAAAGGAGTGCATTATGTTCAATCGAGATTTGACCGCCCCCAAGCAAGATTGGTTTCTTCCATGTCTCCCACATACACCAAGTCTGATCATACACAGGTCTACCAAAAGAGTCAGCCTGTGGTAAGTTGGACCGTACAAGTACTACATGTATAACATGCCTACTGCAAAAAAATCTACGGCGAATATTAACCGCAACAAAGAACAGATCTGGCGCTTGTTGTTTGTTTGTTTGTTTGTTTAGGAATCTCCCATTAGTGATAATACAATATATTACATTATGTTGTTGTTTTCTTCCCTTGAAGTAAAGATCAGGCGAGTCGGCACCCCCCTCCCCAGAAATTATGATGAAATCCTAGTGTATTTTCACTAGATGTAAGGAATTAGAACAGCCAGCAAACAGTTCGATTTTCACCTGTTAAAACCAGTTGTAAACACATTTTCCGCGAAAATCTGGAATCCGTCTTCTACATGCGAGTACTCCCGCATGTTGTGTGCTCTGATTGGTTTACCTCGGAAAACCTGCGCTATGATTGGTTTATCAGCTGCGCATTACGTATTAATACGGCGCGAGTTTCTCACGCGATTGAGAGGTTGTTATGCTGATCGAAATAGATCTCGTTTTCTTAGCGCTTTTGGTAGCGAGCCTGATTGATAAAAATGAAATCCAGCTTTTCTGAAGACAACATTCAGTTTATTTTGGCGGCACACCGTGCCCTTCCCAACAGCACAACGGTAATGTTTATGGACCCGATGCGACTTCCCACGCATCGGCCCTCCCCCCGGTAAATATCGAACTTTCCCTAGGGTATAGCTGTAACATGTTGATTTAGGTGTTTTTTGGGGGGTGCAAATCGATGCAAATTATAAAAGTGCAAATCTATGCAAATAACAACTGCTTTCTAAAATATCCCTAACTAGAAACAGAGGGGCCAATGCTTATATATACAGTTTTATAATCCTGGTTTAATTCATTGATTCTGAACAACAGATGTTGCATTTCATAGCAAAGGTATGAAAGCCATACCCTAGCACAGAAGGCTATATTTTAGATATACCATTTTTCTTATTGGTGATACAAATGATCTGGGCTTTTAGTTGTATTAAATTGGGCCCCATTTTGTCTCTGCTTGTGCCTAAATTGTTAATAATTTTTTGTTATTTCTATGTAGTATATATATGTCTTTGTTAAACATTTTTCTGTTCGATGGCGGTGCTTATATAAGTTTTATTAACTTGTGTGCATCGCATTGCCTGTCTTGTGCTTCTTTTCTTATGCCTTAAGGCCACACCGACCTAATTTTATGGATGACATTCACGCACGCGCGCATTGATTTTCGCCTGCTCTCAAAAAAAGATCACGTCCTCCGAGGCTTTGGCATGGGTTGTCCATGGTGGTTAGCGACAATATGGAGCCGGTGGTAAGTTTGGAGGACGGCACCCAGACTACCGAAGCTGCACGACTCAAGAACTCAGTACATACGTACAGTGCCGATTCATAAATTCCGCAAAAAGCCAGCATGTGCAGGCTTAATTGTCGTATACGTCGCTATGTACTGCCACAAATTCACAATACCAGCTTTGCATGCTATGCTATGGTTCAGTAGCATTTTTATTTTTGGCCGCGCGCACTAGTTTGGGGGTCTTCAAAGGACGTCATCCTGAAAATTAAGTCGGTGTGGCCTAATATAAAAAAAAGCCGCCACACAAGACTATACCATTTTTCTAGCCTGAGTGTCAGCCTTTTTAGCTTTTGTCCGCTCCCGGGACACGATTCAATACCGGTAGTGGCTACCATTTTCTTCTTGATTCTACAAATGCAGGCGCCACACACGAGTACACGCCTCTGAACCGAGATGCTCCGCCTGGCCCCTCTACCCCGACACCTGGAAGAACAACCACCACCGACGGGGACCATGCTCTCCCTCCCCCGAGGCCAGGAGGAACAACCACCGACGGGGACCCTGCCC